CAAGCTAAAAAATGGATTGATCAAGGTTATCAAACATTGGATGATTTACGAGCAAAAGCTCATTTGACACATAATCAACAAGTAGGACTTAAATATTATGATGAATTTTTACAACGGATACCACGAGCAGAAATACAAGAAATTGAACATGTTGTTAGAGAAACAGCTGAATTATTACGACCCGGTATTATTTTGACAACTGGTGGTTCATATCGACGTGGTCAACAAACATGCGGTGATTGTGATATGATTATTACGCATCCTGATGGAAAATCTCATGAAAATTTATTGATACCATTAGTCGAAAGTTTAAAAAAGAAAGGTAAACGAACAGGTGATCAGGATAAAATGTATAATATAAATATATATATATACGTTCGCTGAGAGGATTCAACTAATCGAAGCATATGACATTAAAATTTCTTATGGAATGGAATTAATTGATAAATTATGTGGACAATTGATGTTTGAAGTTAATAGGAAGAAAATTGAAAATGAAATTTAGAAATCTTGTTCCCACTTAAGCTCAACTAGACTCTTATTTATTGATATGATCAATTTTTTATTCTTTTTTCAGCTCAACAACAAAGTAAAGTTTCGACAAAGCCGAACGCCACAAATTTGACTAAAATTTCTGTATTTTTGGTTCGAGGAAGATGAATGTTGTAAATTATGGTCATCACTTTTATACAACAAATGAATGATGACAAATTCGAAAGAACGTTCTGTATGAGCGTTATGAGGCATAAAACAGAACTGTGGCACATATTATTCAAGCACCTACTTCTCAGGGGGTTCGCTTTCTGCAAGATTCATTTCCTATTACTCGATGAAAATGATTCATTCATTAGAGATGTAGACTTTATGCCATAAACTGGATAGGGATAAGAATTAGCCAAAAATACAGAAATTTAGTCAAAGACGACTATAAGGTTTTAACTACAGAACAGGATATGTATGCGCTTGTATAGGAAGGCTTGCTCTATCTAGTGGTGTATATATTGTTGAATCCTCATGTGTACTGTCAGAGAAATTTAAAAGTAATCCCTCTTTTTTTAGACTTTTTTAGAAATTGTTTTTATTTTTGTGTTAAATATTGCGCATTATAGAGCAAAATTCCCTCTACAAAATAAGATCACTCCCAACTCTCCAAGGCTTTCCGTTGAGAAGATACGAACTTTTTAAAGTTTATTGCTTTACCCTGAAAAACTTCTATTTCTTTACTTTCAAAACTCCTTTTCCATTCAGTGCTTGATAAATCATTTGAAACAGTGAGCCTTGTAGAATAAAGATTTCTCTACAAAACAAGATGGCTCTCAGCTCTTTTCCATGTTTTCTGATAGAGTTATGATCATTTTGCTGAAGTCTTTGAAAAAGTCACATTTGTAATATAACGTCCAAAAACTAGGGTTTTTTCAGCGTAAAGTAACAAAGTTTAAAGAGTTCGTATCTCTTCAACGGAATGCCTTGAAGAGTTGGGAGTGATCTTATTTTGTAGAGGGAATTTTACTCTATAATGCACAATATTTAACACAAAAATAAAAACAATTTCTAAAAAAGTCTAAAAAAAGAGGGGTTACCTTTAATTTTCTCTGACGATGCACATTAGGAGTCGACAATATATACACCACTAGATAGGGCAAGTCTTCCTCTACAAACCTACATATATTCCATTCTGTAGTCAAAAATCATCGTGAAATTTACGGTCGTCTTTGTTGAAACTTTACTTTGTTGTTGAGTTGAAAAAAGAATACAAATTGATCATATCAATAAGAAAGAGTTTAGTAGTGTTTAAGTGAGAATAAGATTTCCAAATTTCATTTTCAATTTTTCTTCTATTCACTTTAAACATCAATTGTCCACATAATTTATCAATTCATTCCATTTCATGAAAAATTTCAATGTCATATGTCCAGATTGTCTGAATATTTTAAGCAAATGTATAGATTCATCAGACAATATCCATGTTCCCTACATTTCCTATAAAATACACACTATTATTTTTGTTTATTTTAGGTTATATAACGGATGATTTAGTTTATACAGATCGAACAGATGCTGAAGGGTTCGTTGTATATTTTGAATATTGTCTCCCTTATTCAATTCAAATTTCATATTTCATTTTAGTACCCATATCAAATATTATGGTGTCTTTATTTTGCCCGGTGAAGGTCGAGTGGTAAGTAGAAACATTTGTCTTATCATATCAAATGTTAATAGAATTTTGTGCCTGATATTTTAGCATCGTCGTCTTGATATAATTATTGTTCCTTATTCCGAACATGGATGTGCTTTAATATATTTTACCGGTTCAACATTATTTAATCGTTCAATGAGACGTTTAGCTGATGATATGAATATGCATTTATCTGGTCATCGTTTACAAGCTGGTGTAATTAGAAAAGTATATCTTCTATTTTTATCTTTTATTATTATAAATTCTTTGTATTTTAATTATTTATTATTATTTTTATTTTAGGGTAAAAAGTTAGTAAATGAAGGTGTCACATTACCAACACCAACAGAAGAATCTGTATTTAAATATCTCAATTTACCTTATAGACCTCCTACTGAACGTGATCATTAATAATCTCAGTTTACTATTATGTTGTATACGTTTATGTGTGTAATGAATAGTTAGTCATAACAAAACACTCAGTCTTTTTTGTGCAATAATAAGATTATTTTCTATTATATTTTGTCTCCTTTATTTTTTATATGAACTAACCTCAAAATTGATTTAAAATATAGAATAATCACGCATCTAAAGTCAATGTATTGAGAGTATTCGTTGAACTACAATATGTATTCATATCTATTTAGAAGTCATAGTCTTTCTATGAAATCTAATATTTACTGAAAAGTCTTAGCGTATCTGTAATAGTACCTCACTAATTGAGCGAAAAGAGTTGATAGAGACATACCTGTCCATAGAGATATTTATATATTTTTTTTAAATAACCCATTGTTCGAATTAATACATTAATTACAATTAGTCATATTTATGCAGTTTTATCTACATTCATTTATTCATAAATTCTATTGGTTCTTAGAACAATGTTGAAAAATACTTTTCTTTTTTTCTTGTGAAACTCTTTATTATTTGCTACCAAATCAGATACATATCACTCATATTTCAACAAACAGCGTTGTCGATTAGGTGGTAGGAGGTGAAAATCCACCCGTTTGAATAAAATTACTCAAAAAATTTTGACTTACTCAGATATTTTTTAAGAAATTTAAATTGAAAAATTGCCTTTTATGCATCTGAGTTGATTTTCTCTAGCTTCTGAGTAACTCATTTATTTGCCGAAAAACTGGCTCTTATACATCTGAGTAAGTGATTTCTAGGTGGTTTAAATAATTTGTTTGCAATGTATTTCTAATTATTAACGTGTTTCATGTTAAGTAACCATTATTGAGAATAGTAGAAATTAATAATGAATAAATGTAACTACTATGAAAAATATGCTTATTCTACTAAAATTTTATCTTAATAGAATAAGAATATTAAACAAAATTAAAATGTTAGCCTTCAATGTTACACTGAAAATGATCAGTAGGCATTATGATTATATTGAACAAAATCTTTTTAGACGTTATTTTTCCTTTTCTTCCTTCTTTTCTATTACTACATATGACTATGTATTGTTAGAAAATACAAGTCCTTGTATTTTCTAACGAAGTAAAAAATATTCTAGACGTCTAAGTATCTATCTTGATTTTTTCTATCTGTGACTGCGTTTCTGTTAAAAAGAAAAATTATTACTGAACGATTCTACACTTTCACTTCATTTAACAACAATTAATAATTAAGATGAAAACTTAATTTAAGTCTCTGAATGAGTACGTTTCTTTATAATCGGTCTGGCAGTTATCCTATTTGCCATGAATCTACAACTGTAAAAATTTTTTTCGAGACATAGCACTAATAAACGTCTATTAAATTATGAACAATATGATGCCGCATTAAAAAAGTTAAAAGAAAAATGTACAACTAAGCGTTCAGCACCAGTCTAAGACTAATTTTTCTTCAGTTAATTGAAGAGTGATAGGCTTCAATTAGCTTAAAACATGCACTTACTCAGAAAAAATTTTACTCAAGAAATGCGAATTGAATTTTACACAAGTAAAAACTTTAGTTACTCAACAGACTCGCCACCTCCCCACCAAAACTTCTATCGAAAACGCTGTCAACAACATTCAAAGCTGATTAAAGCGTTGACACACAATGTCATGGTCTTGTAAGGTTGAATACCATCACGTATTTGTAGAAAATATAGGTAGGAATTTAGATAGAACTTACTATCTGAGAGCTGTCGAAGCATAAAATTGATTCCGCAAGTCTCACTATTTCGCTCTCACTATCGACCACACACCTCTAACTTATTTCTGATCTTCTCGGTTTTCTTCTCTATGACTCATTTCACCATACCTTCCCTTCGGTGTTTGTAACGTTGTTTTGTCTGAACCTAAGACTATCTGTTCTTCTACTATAAAAATCTTCTCACTTCCTCGTCTCTCTCTACTTAGATTATCCCATATTCTAATCTTCTCACTTTCTGACTTACGTAAAACTATCGTAGGAAGAGAAGGTCAAGAAGTCAAAGTCAGTGTATATCGCTTGACTCTTGGAACATGTTTCCAAGGATAACATAGCTATCAGGATAAATTCTGTATGTGGATATCTATGCACTTTCTACATAGTATTCGCGATAACTATTCATGTTACGTTATCTTAGTAAGAAACATCGTTGAAAATTATTTTGTACAATAATCCATCCATGTCTAACACATTTATTCATTGTGCTGTACGATAGAAATGTGATGTACTCACGTTTTTCAATGCGTGAATAGAATCAATGACAGACCTATGTTATCATTTGCTATGCTTGGTTTAATGATTGTGTTTCTACATTATTCAAGGCTTCGGATTCTGGAACGATGTATAATTTGTAAAATTATATAATAAGATATTGTCACGCAACACCATTCACTTTCATACTTTGATTTTATCCTCTTAAAATATAATAACTTTTTTCATATGCGTGTCCAGTATTTTGACCAGTAGTCATAACTGGCATATTTATAAGGTCTTTTTAATCGATCTTTGTACAGGGCCATTTGTAATTGAACCTTTCTATAAATATTTGTGATCCGCTGCTGTATAGACTTCCCTAGTGAATGGACCTGCATGCTGGTACTTGGCCGAGTACCCCGGCAATTTTGCCCAACGTTCTTGCGCTTTTTTCGCAAGTAAACCAAGTATTTGAATTACTTGAATTAAATGAGGTCATCTGGTTGAACTTCTTTCCTGAAGGCAAAAATAAAGACGTGTCTTACCACTTTATCGCACTTGTTGCACGTGTTTATTGGTAATATCAAGTTTAGTACTCAGGAGGAAAAGTATTTTCTGTAGTATAATCCGCTTTAAATACATAATGGTATATACTAATATCTAAGAGCAAAAACGTGAATTTACACACAACGTGAAGGGCTCTACACGAATTGTACAAAATATAAGTGTGACCATGTTTTATGTTCGAACGCTACAAATAATTTACAAACGCCTCACACATATAGTTGTAATTTTGTATATATTTAATTGCACGGAAAATGGTGATGTGTAAATATTTCTACCTCAGCATTTCATTTTATGAATAAACAAACAGTGTGGACTGTTATGAATAGACCATCAATTTCATCTATACTAAAACGAACCCAACCACTTGTCCGAGGGGTTGTCGATGCACCCTCGCTAAGGATTGCCTCCTCCGGAAATGAGAACTTTGAATCCTAGACAAAATCGTTCGAGGGGTTATCGATATCGAGCCCTTGGATCTCAGATAAGTGGCGAGTACTCGAGAAAAATTTCGAGCCGCCGAACAGACATATGCGGGACCTAAGCAGGCTAGAAGACTTCCAAGCCCGATGATGCGACGAGGGCTCGGAAGTCTCGAGCATCCATCTCAGTTCAAAAATGTTTCAGTTTGTTTTCACAAACTTTTCTAAAAAGTAGGTTTTAGTTAAATCAGAAAACACCATACTTTTCTTTCCAAAAGCCCTCAAATTTGATGAAAATATGTACAAAACTTGCTGAGATGCTACGGTCACACGTTAGACTAATTCGTTTTCAATTTTAATTAGATACTTTACTCTAATACATGCAATAACAGCAGGTGAAAGAGTTGTGTTTGAAGATACGCAATAATCAAAATAAAAATTGATGCTATTTTAATAAGAAGCTATTATCTTTAGTTATCGAGAGACAGAGTTTTTTTATTGATACTTTGAAAAACTTAAGAACAATAGAAATCTTCGATTTCTGTTTAATTGTCATAGGTATATTAAAATAAACTAATAGTTTGAAATCCCTCTTTAGTATATAATATGTTGCTTGTAGACTATTCGACTCTTTTCTAATTCATTTATCTCTTTCTTTGTTGCTATTTGTATTTCTACCATATTCGTATCTTTTCGTATTCGTGACTAATT